ACTATAGTTGTGTTCCAGAACCTACAAATTAGTACTAATTAGTGCTAATTCTGCTAAAACGCGTTCCCGTACTCCAAAAACTAGCAAAACTTGCAGCTCTCTCGATAAAAAAATGGCGCTGAGTGGTGCACATTTCTGCTTATTTTAGCTACATGAATTTGGCAGAGCAGAAATGTGCAAATTGTAAATTTGACATTTAATTGGCAGGGCTAACAAGGTTGAAAAATGTTTCAACCTGAATAAGGAATCAGACGATGAAAACGTATTGGAAAACAGTGCAAAATTAGTGAAAGGTTAATTGAAAAATTAAGCTTAAAATCAATGATGTTCGCTTATTACTGAACATGTTCTTTTTATTTTTTAGGTTGGCTGTCTTCCCAACTTGTGGCATTTAGTCTTCTAGCAGACTTAACATTAATTAAACCGGCGGCTCCAACCATGTCAGCTTCTCCGGGGTTGGGATTTGATAAAACTCCACCTCTAAATACTCTTCAACGCATTCTGAAACAAAACTTTCTAAATAAACAGCATTCAAAAATAATTATTAATTTCAACTTATTTTCAATACTCATTTTTTTAAATTTTGGCGTCCATTTCAGTAAGGGTTCACCAGTCCGATTTAGACTGTTTCCTTTTGGAATTTTGAATGTTGACATTTTATCGTATTTCTGCTAATTTTCCGTTCCCTTATTTGTTGAGCACACCTAAATGAGAATGGCATTTTGTACTCTTCTCTCTTCTGCTAGTTTTAACGCTAAAAAAGTACTGGAACACAACTTATATTAGTTCCGCCTGAAACAAATTATTACTGCTCTAAAGCCAAATGGTGATAGGTGGTATGATCTACCAAATAAATTGTTTTGTTACCGGAGCTCTACTAAATAAGCATGGTGTAGCGTATCAAATAGTCGGCCCGGTCGACTTTTGACCTTTCCTTACTGCTCTTTTGATATGCTAGCTATTTTTGTTTGTGTCTTACCGGCAAAAAAAACCATCAAATTAAACACACAAAAAAGCAATAGCTCTGATTTCTTCTGCTCCGGTTTTACATATGTATTTGAGCTTGTCAGCCAATAGAAGTTTTGTTTTGATATGTAATGTACCAATATACATTTTTTAATTGTTGAATAATCTATATATAAATATATATATATATAAACAATTGTTGTTCGTTGGTAATGGAATTAGTTGAGAACGACTGGACCGATTTGCATTATTTTTTGAACAAACGTTCGTCATACCCCAAGTTAGGTTTTTAAAGAAAAGAGTATTGACCACGCCTTCTTTTACACCCACTATTTCGATTTATCTAAAATCCTTTTATTTGCCAAAATAATGAAGATATCGGTTTAAAAATTATTGCACAAGATACTGTTGACTTTCCATCCAACCCTAAGTATTTATTTGGGGCAGAGGAACTGACCACGACTACTTTTTAATCTATATATATAAAAATCGATTGTTGTTCGTTGGTAATCGAATAAGCTAAGAACGGCTGGAAGGATTTGAATATTTTTTAAAATGTTCGTCCTACCCCCCTTTTGGTTTTTATGTAAGGAATAAGTGATCACACCTACTTTTACGCACATTTTTTCGATTGACCCAAAATCCTAACATTTGCCAAAATAATGAAAATATTTGTTCCATAGTTAGTATAAGACGTACTCTTGGCTCTCCCTCCAATATAGTAACACATCAGTTGAGAACTGCTTGGCCGAATTGACTCAAATTTTCTTTTGGTTGTTTGTAATTATAGTGGAAACGTTTTCATGAATGAAAAATTTGAGAAAAGCCTCTAGAAAAGCGCGGAAGTGAAAAGCCTGAATTTTCTATTTTGATAAGGAATTTTTTATAGAATTGTTTCAGAATGCCTTTTGGAATTGAACATTTTTATTGAAAAAAATCGAGAAATTTTGCATATATTCTATACAATTTTGATTAAAAAATACATCTCAAAGCATCGAAACATTTAAAACCCCAACGTACTTTCAAATTGGGGCTATGCACATTGGGGAACAATAGTAAATTAAATAGTAAACAGTTATTGCCGGTATTGTTTTCACAATACTGAAAACTTTGATTTGAAAATTTAATTAAATACGATGATATAACAAATATAAAGATGTACTTATGAATAGAAAATGAATGATAACAAATATATACCTTTTGTAACATTAATAATCCTAAAGCTGGGAATACATAAAGCGCTTATTTGACTGGCTTAAGTCATCGGCTGGCTTCTTCGTAGAGGAACAAAGGAGTTTTAGGTTGACTTAGTTCGATTTTGACCCTAGGCTCTTTTGTTCATTTCCGAAGAAGCCAGCCGATGACTTAAGCCAGCCAAATAAAGCTGGGAATACATAAAACGCTTATTTGGCTGACTTAAGTCATCGGCTAGGGTCAAAATCGAACTAAGTCAACCTAAAACTTCTTTGTTCCTCTACGAAGAAGCCAGCCGATGACTTAAGCCAGTCAAATAAGCGTTTTATGTATTCCCAGCTTAAGCGCTTTATGTATTTCCAGCTTAAGAATAATATGTGCTAAGTCTGAAAGACGCATATTAAATTTGGTGAGCTCTATCGTAATTGTGAATGGAGAACGGAGAGGCTCAATTATAAAAATATACTTTGTCAAAACATTTAAAAATTTTTGACATATCAATGTTCCCAAGCTTTGATGCACCTACCTGTATTCTTCTACCATGATTATGACTTAATGACCAAAGCGTTGCCATTTTTAAAGCATGTCCACTGCAGTATAACTCTAGTTTAGTGATAAATCTTCGATTTGTTCGAATATTTTTTCCAGGGATGGGTATTTTTTAACCGAAACTCAAGGTTAAAGGCCCGGGCTAGACCCGATATGGGCGATATATGAAATTACCTCTCCAAAAAATGGTCACATGACGGGGTTATTTAAAGCTGGGATTATTTAATGATGAAAATGTCATCCCTGTCCAAAAAAAGGGTTAATCAAACAAAAAAATCAACCATGCTTTATTTCCGGATAAAGATTTGTATGTAAACGTTCTTTAAACACGCTGAAAAACATTTTTTCGAGGCATCCTGTTATGTAGTTTGCTAATTAGGAGCAGTTTGTTATTCGATAAGTGAATTTATCGACTAGTCGATGTTCTGAATTTGACTTATGTGGCGTTTCCACTACACTTGATTCGCTCTCTATCCTTTGTTCGACCCTTAACTATGAAAAAACTACTTAATTCTTCACACAAAATTTCCTGAGCGAACACTTCTATTTGCACATTGTTCAAATCAAATCACTCTCCGAACAACGAAAAAATATGTCCCATACCTAACAAATGAGAGCATTTATCGAAAAAATAAATTATGACATTTAAAAATTAAAACTAGAAAAATTTAATGAAATTTTAAAAATTTTTGGGAAGACTGAAAATTATGAATGAAAACTACAATGTTGAATGTCGTATGTACATTCAAACGAAAGTACATTTTGTTTTCTGTTTCATTCGAGGTACGCATTTTGTCCACGAGTTGAAATTTCCACAGAAAACCGCAAACAAAAGAGCAATATTTTCAAAATGTTTGTATCGGCAGAAAAAAAATTTTGACAAGTGTCTCTCCAGCAGAATTTAAAATTAAAAAAATACAAAAATATGTTCAAAATGTCAATATTTACACAAAAACTTGAAAACACGAATAAAAAATGTAAAATTAATGATATAATTATTCTTTGGAAGAAAAACAATAATTTCTTCTATTCATATTAGTGAGAATTTCATGTATTTTTGTATAAATTCCCATTCAAATCAACAAGCAAAATTTGTGAAAAAAGGAATTATTTTACTATGAATTACGAATCGTGCCGTATTAACGGGTTAATTCGTGTACCTAATTCTGAGAGCGAACAACGTGATTGAAAGTGTAATCAGAACATAGCATTAGGGATACCTAATCCATGCAATCAGGGCTGCCAAGTTAGGCGATTTATCAGCATTTTGACGACTTTTCACTTTAAAAATGGGAAATGTCGATTTTTGTCTTATTTGAAGTATATTTATTAAAGGAGGTATATTGTAAACGTTGAAAATATACTTCAAATAAGATATGTATATTTTATTTGCTTCATCCATATTTCCTCAATAAACGTTGGCAATGTTTAATGCCGTATTAAATATCATCTATTGCTATTTCCGAGGCAAATGCGATATGCAAAAGAAAAATGATTAAAGTTCATAAAATTAAATTTGAGTTAACAAGTCATCCATATAGTTCCAGACGTGCACTATTTGCTAGTTTTGCAATTTTTTACGATATCATAAAGAGAAAATCTGTTATTGTAGTAAAAAATTACATCCTAGCTCTGTTGCAGAACCTGCAAGAAGCTGCAATTTTAATCTTTTTTTTCGATTTTATAAAGGGAAAATCGGTCATCGTAGTAAAAACTTGACATTCTTGCAGTTCTGGAACAGACCGCCTATCAGTTTTGGAACAAATCAAATATAATAACTATGTAACCAATGGAAATAAAAGAACACATGCAAGTGTGTGATAGCAAGATACAATGACAATTTTGACATACAAACGGATACACACACACACATATATATATATATATATATATATATATATATATATATATATATATATATATATATATATATATATATATATATATATATATATATATATATATATATATATCTACATTTTTTGCGAAAAAATATTTGTGTTTTTATTTAAATGTTATTATTTATTTAAATGTTATTATCATTATCATTTCAAAAAAGCATTCCTATCTCAGCATTTTCTGTAATATACCTTGTCACATTTCACTACATAAAAACAGGTTCCCATTTCTGATTTGTGTATGTACAATGGATTTATAAATACAGATTTTGACAATGAGATGTTGTCAAATAAATAATGACTTTACCTTTTTGATTCCGATTATTCCGATTTTTTTTTTTCTGAAAAATTTGCGATTTTTCTTGAGGGTTTATTGGCAGCCCTGTTCAAAATGTTTTACATAAATACATACAGATAATAATTTGTGTTTACATATTTTTTGAGAATAACAAAGAGGAAAATTCCAACTTCTATTTAACTTTTTATGTTCATATCTGATCGCGTTTGTCGTACTAATATATTGGTGGTTGGTGTTTTTTGCTAATGGAGGAAAATACTCAACTAGCAATTCTTGAGAAGGTATTTCTTTATTCATTCGTTCCCCAGTAACTTTCTTGTTCAACATTCAAGTTTTGTTTAATTTTCAAGGTTTAGAAAAAGGACTGAATCGATTATTTGATTACTACCCAGATTATTTCTAATTGGAATATTATTTTGCGTTGTAAGTGATTCGTTTTTAATTTATTTATTGTATTGTTTGATTTTCAGAAACCAAGATACATGCGTAGAATTTGAAATAATCTCTTTTAAAATAGTCATAATTGAAACTATGGAATACACGGACAGACTATGACTCATTTGATTAATTCTTTTCTCATTTCGGCATTATGTTTCATATCCAATCGTGTGTTATATAATTGATGCAAGCCTTTATTTATTGTATTAAATTAAAATGCTTAACTTAAGTAAGAACTCTATTTTTTCTGAAACGTTTTCCAAGAAGCAAATTTGTTTTGATATGTTAATATGTTTTATATATGTTAAGTTTAGGGGTTATGCTCGGAATATTGCATTCGAAAGTTGGGATATAATATACGTTATTAGACCGGATCTTTTTAAAATCCCCGAAAAGTGAAAGACCCATTATAGCGTCTATATACAATTTTATAGTCTGTAAAAAATGTATATGTATATGTACATATAGCTGGCCCAGTCCGCGTTGCTGACCCGTAGTTTTAGTCTTTAATGCATAGTTTTTAAAGCATAATAATTCACAAATCTGGCTCACATAGGTGGCACAATTTTTAGTATAAATGATGACTCGATAAAATATAAATAAATACTTCTTTCAAAAAACCTGATCTATTTCTCACTAAGAAGTTTTAGTTTGAGTGTTAAAAACCTAAATAATATAGCATATATATTAAAAAGTATACATTAACTGTTTATAATAGATCCAAAGTTGCCTAAACACACATTTTATGTCAAATCGATACGAAAATATAAACAAAACCCTCCAAATAGGTAAAATCAGGATGTACTTTTATATGAGCTCTACTCTGAAACATTGACATTGAAAAATTTCCGCGAAGAGGTCTTCTACCAGAAGCTAGATGCCAAATAGGGCAACATCAATTGTGAAATGTGTCACCGCATACCTTAGAGTTACAATGAAGCATGGTCCTATACTTATAATTATTTGAAAGAATTTGTTTTTCTTTCTAAAATCTCAAATTACCAACATTTGAGGAATTTGAATGGGGCTATATCATTTGAGGGGGGGGGGGGGGGGGTACTATATCACAATGTAGACTAACCTGATACATATTTTGTACAAATGATATCCCTAGGACTGTATCAAATTTAATACTTTATCGTAACTCTTGCGGAATATTTGCGGCCCTTTGTGTGTGGTTAAGCTATATAAAATGGACTCTAAAAAAGTCAGATCCGGGAACCCCTCTTTTTGGATTTTTAATTACTAACCAAAAAATTTCCTAACCCCAAGATTATCTGCGGCGCAGTGTAATTACTGACGATAGCGCATAGTGCCCGTATTTAAGTGCCCTATGATTTAAGGTTACTTTTAAGGGTTCGGAAGAGTTTTCCGAGTATATGAATCCGTTTCTTACTATATTTTCAATTCACTCCACTATTTTGTATAGTCCGCATTTAACAGTGCCTTTTCATATTCGGTATTTCACTGATTGAAGTCCCAATGAATTTTGCATTTTGAGTTCTCATTGGATGGATTATTTCCATATCTAATCAAAATTGAGTATTTGGGTATAGCAACCATATAACAGCATGTATAGAAAATACTCAAAATTCCATATCATAATAGAACAGTCAATTTTTTCAACTCCGCGATTTTTCTAAAAAAGGTTCTTTAAATTAATATGTAAAAAAGTTGAAAAAGCATAGTAACACATCAGTAGAGAACGGCTGGGCCGATTTGAATAAAATTTTCTTTTGGTTATTTGTAATTACAGTAAAAACGTTGTTATGAAAGAAAATTTTGAGAAAAATCGCGAAACTGAACAAGTAAAAAAGCAGTAAGTTCGGCCGGGCCGAACTTTGAATACCCTCCACCATTTGAAACGAATTAGAAAATTTTCAAAAAAATAAAATCCATTAAAAATTATTTTAAAATCTTTAAAATATCTAATATAGGAAGGTGCCGATATATGGGGGGATATACGATATTGTGGATCTATAAAGACAAATCTATGTCTGCGTGTAAAGTACTCACAAGGAACTCCTTGTGTGGATTTTCAGACAATACGATTGGAAAATGTGGCTAAAATCATCAAAATACCGAATATCGCGGTATTTTCGGTAAATCTTTAAAATATCTAATATAGGAAGGTGCCGATATATGGGGGGATATACGATATTGTGGATCTATAAAGACAAATCTATGTCTGCGTGTAAAGTACTCACAAGGAACTCCTTGTGTGGATTTTCAGACAATACGATTGGAAAATGTGGCTAAAATCATCAAAATACCGAATATCGCGGGTTACCGTTATATGGGAGCTATACGTTATCGTTAACTTATATAGAGAATTCGCTGTCGGGGGGTAAAGTGCTCACAAAGAACCCCTTGTGACCATTCCGTTGAAAAATATGGCTAAAAACCGAATATCGGGGGTACCGTTATATGAGGGCTATACGATATCTCTGCCGAGGTATAAAGTACTCACAAGGTACTACTTGTGTGGATTTTAAGACAATTCCATTGAAAAGTGTGGCTAACATCATTGAAATACCGAATATCGGGGGGTACAGTTAAATGGGGGATATACGATATCGTGGACCTATATAGACAATTCTTTTTGAGGGGGTAAAATGCCCATAAGGGACTCCTTTTGTGGAATTTCAGACAATTCCATTGAAAAATCTGGATAAAATAATCAAAATACCGAATATTGGGGGGTACAGTTATATGGGGGATATACGATATCGTGGACCTATATAGACAATTCTTTTTGAGGGGGTAAAATGCCCACAAGGGACTCCTTTTGTGGCATTTCAGACAATTCCATTGAAAATGTGGCTAAAATCATCAAAATACCGAATACCGTGGGTTTACCGTTATATGGGGGCTGTACGATATTGTGGACCTATATAAATAATTCTCTGCCGAGGTATAAAGTACCCACAAGGAACTCCTTGTGTGGATTTACAGACAATTCCGCTGAAGAATGTGGGTAAAATCTTCAAAATACCGAATATGGGGGGTACCGTTATATGGGGGATGTAAGATATAGTGGACCTGTATAGACACTTCTCTCTCAGGGGGTAAAGTACTCGCAAGGAACTACTTGTGTGGATTATAAGACAATTCCATTGAAAAATGTGGCTAACGTCATCAAAATACCGAATATCGGGGGTCCCGTTATATGGGGGCTATACGATATCGTGGACCGATATAGCCCATCTTCGAACTTGACCTGCCTGCAGACAAAAGATAGATCTGTGTGCATTTTAGCTTCCTATCTTAATTCGTTTAGACTGTAGCGTGATTACAACAGACGGACAGACGGACGGACAGGACTAAATCGTCTTAGAATTTTACGCTGATCCAGAATATATATACTTTGTTGGGTCTAAAATGATTATTTCGATGAGTTACAAACGGAATGACGAACTTAATATACCCTCCATACTTTTTTTGGTGGAGGGTATATATATATATATATATATATATATATATATATATATATATATATATATATATATATATATATATATATATATATATATATATATATATACATATATATATATACATATATATATATATATATATATATATATATATATATATATATATATATATATATATTTATATATAAATGTATATATATATGTATATAAATCAATTTTTGTTCGCTGGTAATGGAATCAATTGAATTATATATATATATATATATATATATATATATATATATATATATATATATAAATATATATATATATATATATATATATATATATATATATATATATATATATATATATATATATATATATATGTATATATATAAATATATATATATATATATATATATATATATATATATATATATATATATATATATATATATATATATATATATATATATATATATATAAATCAATTTTTGGTCGCTGGTAATGGAATCAATTGAGACCTGGACCGATTTGCATTATATTTTTTACAAACGTTTTTAAAGCAAAAATTATAGACCACGCCTACTTTTACACCCACTATTTCGATTTATCTAAAATCCTTATATTTGCCAAATAATGAAGATAACGGATTTAAAATTATTACGCGACATACTGTTGACTTTGCCTCCAATCCTAAGTATTTATTTGTGGGCTGAGGAACTGACCACCCCTACTTTTTAATTTACCCCCAAAGTATCCTAAACACATAGAAATAGGTAAAATCAGCAGGTACTTTTATATGAGCCCATCTCCGAAACACTGACATTGAAAATTTTCCGCGAAGAGGTCTTCTACCAGAAGCTAGATGCCAAATAAGCGCAAAATCAATTGAAAAATGTAACCATAACCCCGGTAATAGCTAAAATCACCGGATACCTTTTCATAAGAGTTATAATGAATTTATTTTTCTTTCCAAAATCTCAAAATACCAACATTTGAGTATATATATATATATATATATATATATATATATGTATATATATATATATATATATATATATATATATATATATATATATAAAGGTCATATATATATATATATATATATATATATATACATATATATATATATATATATATATATATATATATATATATATATATATATGACCTTTATAGACCACATGTTGTAGTTGATGGATATGTTATAGATTTTGCTTATTGACATGATGGAGATAGGACGTGCTTAGTATATCGGTATGTTGCGTAAGGTTAATCATAGAAGCCCATGGAATATCTGGTTGTAGGGGTGTCGTTCAATTTTCGTCGTAGTACATCGGGTTACTGATTCCGACGAAAACATTGAAGATAACTAGGTAAGTACCATTGACCGTAACAGGGAGTTCGTTGTTTTCTTCTACAACCGCCAGTTGGTCATTGATGACCACCAAACCATCGCCTATCGCTGTAATTGGTGGGAGGTAGTTGACATTGTATCGCTGCAGTTTCTTACTGCTGAGGTGTAATTGTGACATGCAGCGAGGGTGGATTCTTCCAAGTGGA